ATAATCGAATGAGAAAGTATAAGAAATTTGAAATTCACATTTTCTATTCTCGTGAATTTTTATTAAAGAAGAGAAAAATAAAAGTCAAAAGAAAGTTATTTAATAACAAAATTTGAATAAATTTACGTAAGGATTTTGCAAAACGAAAAAAAAAATAATATTTTAGTAAACATTTTTGATTTAGATTTTTTGTTTTTCCATTTACAAACGAAATACTTATAACATGAATCCATTTATTAATCGTACAGAGTCATACCTTTTTTTCTCTAGGATAATAGTGAAATTCAAAAGATTTCTTATTAGAAATGAATATAATTTATGATATTCAATCAAAAACGTTTTAAAAGTAGTTTTGTAACAAAAATTTTTTTTGTGTTGTACAACATTATACACAATAAATATTAATAAAAATATTATAATACAAAATGTTTATTTACAAACGTTATAATGGCATGCAATACAACTACATCCATAAATTCCTGTCACATTATCATAATAATTCCTTCTAAATTTATATTCAAGTAATAAATCATAAAAATAGTGTATTTATTATGCGATGATGAAATGAGCATCCTTATATAAAGAAGCACAAAATATAGTTGAAGTTGAAGATTATTCAAAAATTATTAAAAGTCATTGTTATTTTGATGAAAAGTTCATTAATCAGAAAACGTTATAATGTCACTGCGTGCGTATGTATGTTGATTTAAAAATTGCTTCCTAAGGATATTGTTTTTTCTAGCTATCTATTTTGCAAGTCACTTTTTATCAGAAAACTAAGTTATTTTTAGAAAAAGAGATTTAGAAAGAGATTTTTTTGATTTAAACTCATTTAAAGATTTTGATTTTAGAGTAAACTAGAAGTCATTACATTATATAGTATGACTATTAAGCCAATTCAAATTGCATGCCGCTACTATTCTGACCACCTCATCCACAATTTCCAGAACATAATCGAATATTGAATCAATATCTCCCGAATTCATCTTTTAAAATTTATTGAAAATTCTAATATTAATTGTATGAAATTTTCGTGATCTGATACAAACAAAATATACTATTGCTTTTTTGTACTATTGCTTATATTGCGGATATAGTTTCTTTCTCTTAAAATAGAATATGAAAAGTCTTATTCATTTGCTTCAATATTTGAATTTTTTTTATGTCATTTCACTAAAAGCTAGTCATGACGATAGAATTTAATATTTTTAAAAAAAGTTTCATTTCGGCACGGCATTTCAATGGATTGTTCTCAGACAAAAATGCAGTTGCAGCTTTTTACATTTTCTTGTGTTAATAAGATTTACAGTTTCTCGTGATGTACCCAATTTTGTTACAATGAAAATTATCACTACAACTATTGAAAATTGTTCAAAATAGAAAGAATTACTAGCGCGGGTCTTTGCTGTTAGAAACCTATTGTTGAATATTAATCCATTATGAGCTAATTTATATTGATTTTTTTAAAACATTCATGCTCACGTATTTTTTTCAAAACCTTTTCACCTTTTTTTTAAATATTTGAAAATTAACCTTGGTTATAGCAGTTTAAACTAGTTATTATAAAAAAGCAATCATAAAAAAAGCGATTTTTTATATTATTATATTTATTAAATTTTTTGTTAAAAGTAACATTGAATTTAATATTCTGCTCATATACTTATTATTATTCTATATTACTCTTTTGTTATTACTCTATTTATTCTATATCACTTTGGCCCAGCTATTTCAAAGGATGGTTTTACTATTCGTTAGTGCCAACACTTCCTTTCTTAGTACAGTCTTTGATATTTTATCAAGTAAGAATTTCAAGTATTAGGGAAAATATCTTTAAATTGAAACGATAAACTTAGGTCAGCCAGTTATATTGTAAAAATTTTAATCTCTTTAAATTATGAAATAGGAAAAATCTTCGAGTCAAAATACAATATCAATGAATTTAATTAGTAATTTTTATTTATTTCAATAAATTTCATATTTTTCAAAACATCTTCACCAGAGCTATGTCACCGAAAAACATATTATTTTCAAACTATAAACTTGGTTTTCACTATTTTTTTTTCATAAATCGAGGGTAAGAAAGCAAAGAGTATAATAACCTTTAATTTTTAGCCGAAATTTTAAGCTCTCGCGGACCATCTAATAAAGTTTAGCATGGCAAGAAAATAGTATTTGTAGCAATAACTTTTCAAAATTATTTAATAACGTAGCACGATGATCAAAATCTTAATACCAAGTTTAAATTTGTTAAATTTCTTTATCTGAATTTAATTGACTTTATTTTAATTTTACCAGACTTAATTTACTTTGACTATGAAATAAAATTGACAATAATTTTTTTGAAAAACATTTATTCAACTTTTAATTTTTAAATTTTTCCATTTTGTTTTAATTCTTGCCGCCTAAAAAAATTGTTTTCCTTGCAATTTTACATTCATCTTAATAAAATTCACAACATTATATTGGAAGTTATTTTTGATTTTTGTTTTTTAATAAAACGTGATAGTTAAGACATCAGTTACTTGATAGACGTCAAAGAATTCAACACGAATATTATGAAGAGAAGAAAAAATTCCACTTTAAAGCTTTGTACTGCTGATAGAGAACATTATTTACTCTCATTGCTGTTTAAGTTTACTCTTTTACAGCTGCTAAGTGTATTAACGCAAATAGAGCAGTTACTTCGCTTGTTTTCTGTTTTTTTTTTGGAAACCATTTAACTTTTCATATTTCATTATTTTGCACTTTGATGAAGTTAAGGGAAAAAAAAAAATTTATTTTTTATTCTATTTTTCTTTTTAATTCCAATTTTGCCGTTGTTTGTTGATTTTTTCTCATTCTGTTTTTCTACTTTTTTTTGTTTTTTAAGAAAATTTTTTTAAGAAAAATTTCACTTTTTATCGTGTATTTGTGATTTTTCGTTCGCTTCCAGAAAGAAATTAATATTTATGCATATTCCAGTCTAAAGAGGATCAAAGTGTATGTGTATATGTCTTGGATGCTGTTAGCATAAGATGAAAATTGAAGTGAAACAAGGGGGTATAAAAAAGCAAACCATTGCTTTTTCTTCTTCTATTTTACATTTTAATAACAAAAACATGAAATAAATATTAAAAGTCAAGTTGACATCATACGCCTTCATAATAAATCATCATCTTATTATTTGACAGGAAACATTAAAATAGAAAGCAATAATCTGATATTAAAAAAAAAAACTGAAACTCAAAGAGAAAGAGAAATTTCATAAAAGGATGCTGAAAGATATGACGTCGAACGACAACGTGTGTGTATGCGTGCATGTGTACTTTGCTACTGGTTCGCTGTTGTTTTACAATTTTTTTTTTTGCTTTGTTGTTCTATTTTATTATTGTTGTTGTCATTATTCTTTTATAAAATAACCATCCTCTATTTTCTTATAATTTTTCATTTTTATTATTTGTCCCTTATTTTAACTCAAGGATAGCATTATGTGTTTATATTAAATATCATTATAAATATGGTGACGGAATTTAAGGATATTTTGACAACCTTTCTATTTCTATTGGAAATTTACAATATTTTTTTTTGTTTTGGTGTTGTTTTTGGAGTTTTGTGATTTTATTGTTAAATTTTATTGTTAAATTATTGGTATATGACGTATGTATGTATGTAATAAAGTAGATTGGATACTGACTCTTAAGTTTTGTAAGGATCAATAGGAATGTTAAAAAATAAGCAAATATCAAAGCATGAAAACATTTTTTTATTTTTATATTGGCTATTTGGAATATACACGATGTTGAAAGTTTTTAATCATTTAGCTTATTGTTGTTATTCATCCTTACCATATGTCACTTAATAAATTTCTATTGAAAATATGAAATAAATTTTTTTTTCCCTCTTTACTACTTTACCACCCCATACAGAATTTTTTATTATAATAAGAGAGTGGAAAACATTCCTACACTATAATAATAATGACATTTAAAAAAATTGAGAGAAAAAAAAAACAAATTTGAAAGAGATTTGGTCCAATGTATTGAAAGGAGGGGGAGTAAAAAGTATAGAAAAAAAATGTTGGGAAGGATTAAAACAATTGACAAGTCATTGCAATCTATGATAAAACGATAATGGGAAAATGTAGGAAAATAGGACAAAAATGATTTATGATTTTTTATAAAACACCATGATAGGTAGCTAGCTATATATTCGTATACGTATAATAAAATTTGTATATGTATATTAATCTTTGAAAAATTATTAAAATGTCAGAAAATTTTTATTGTTGTAGTGAAATTTTATTCAACTTCTTTCGAAATATTGACATTTTATTTTTTATTATAATGCTAAAATTAATTATCTTTATTTTTTTAAAAGGGTTAAATGGAACAATAATAACAATAGCCTTAAAGCACTATTTTGTGAAGCTCCAACTTTTCATATATTTTACATAATAACCGCTTATAAAATGGAACGAGACCGCATTTTATTTTAAACTGTTATACAGCCCAAAATTCTGGCTTCAAAATTAATGAGATGAAATAAAAATTCTTAGTTTTGCAAAGTTGCCTTTAGTTTAAAACAATTTTTAAAATAAAAGTTTTGTAAAAATTTCGATATTCTTTAAGAGAATCCCGTTAAAATATTTTAGCAGCTTATATTCAGTAGAACAAAAATTTACTTGGCCGCGTCATTGTTCGAGTAAGAACAGACTCAAATGCATCTGATTATGAATGCATTTCTTATGCTTCCATATATTTGTCAAGACTTGTTAAAAAAAAAATGAATTAAACACAATTGTTAATTTGACATTTGGTACTAATCCAATTTTTATGATGGAATGTAAATATTATGTGAAAGTTGGTCAGTCACAATCAACTTTTTTTGCTGACAAATATACATACATACAGATAATATTATATATAGATTAATTTTAGTTAAGAGACAAAATTTTTAAAAAATTCAATATCTTTAAATATGGCAAAATTTAATTATTTTTTTCTTGTTTTTTTTTATTTTAGCTGATGGTAACTGGTTTATTTATAGTAAGTTTCGCAAGAAGAAAATTTCGTTACAGTTGCTTGGTAAGTAAACAATAATTTTATTAAAAATTAGAAAGAATATAGTTTTAAATGTTTTTTTTTGGTTTATTATTGGTAGAATTACAAAATATATTCATTTGAAATGCGTGAATTCCAACAAAATTCCATCATTCTGCGGTTATACTTCACATAAGAATTATATGGAAGAGCGTTGGCCTACCCATAATGTTATTTTCGAAAGAAATGCATAATATTTAGCCTATATTGAAGAAAAATTATTGATTCTGCAAATTTAACGTGATTCGTGAGGTTTCAGTTTAATATTCCCAATAACCATGGCTTTTTTAACTGATATATCTACGACTCATCCACTGATTTGATAATTGATTCAGAATAATCTTCATACCAATATTTTTAATATATTAATATTTTCTTCCTGTTTCACATTCCTGATAATCCTACGGCCTAACTTGTGATCGTACATAGAACATATTAAAGATGTTTTTTTCTAAAACCCGTTATCGGAACTTCTTGAAACGAGTTCTCATTTTTTTTTTGTGACGGAATGATCGGTTTATCGATCGATAGATAGAGGAATGGTTATAGATTACTTGCATTTCATTTCATAAAGAAAGTGATTTTTTCGAAATTTCAATTAAACAATTGTTTTATAACTCACAAAGCTTTAAAAAATTCAAAATTGCACTAAAATTACAATAAAGGTCGTGCTTAGTATGGTAATTTTACAGAAAAATAATAAATTTTAACAGGGCGATTTGAAAATTTAAAAGACATCAATTTTAACTTGATTTCGGAATTTCCAATTTTTTTATTAATATTATTTGTATTATACATGCTTATACACATACAGTCACATTTCTTACAGTTCCATTGTTCTGTACACTTCTATTAAGAATGCTTGAAAGTATTTCACAATAAAATAAATGTTCAAGTTTTGCTTTTTTCCGGAAAGAATAAGTTGAATTTTTTCCAAAAAAATTTTGTGTCACAATAAAAGTCTCTTCTGCATGAATGCGCATATTTGAGATATTTGGAAAAATCTAAAAATAGACTTGTCTTTTTTTTCTTTTGGTTCTTCTTACACAAAATATGATAAAATATAGTGATGTCGACAGCACATAAATACATACAAGGTTTAGTTAAAAGTTACAAGGCCAAAACTATATTTTATACTTTGTAAATACAAGTAAAGGAAAGAAAATTTTTGGTTTAGGACTCGGTTCAGCATTTTCCTTTTTTTCTTTTTTTTTTCTTTTCCTTTGTCATTAAGTTTCCATTTTTTTTGTAAACTTGTATCTGTATTGTATCTTGCTTTTATTTATGTGACTATATTATAATATGTGAATAAATGTCGAAAAAATTATCAAGTAAGTGAAGTAAAAATTTCCAAATAAAAAGACCTATGTAAAAATAACAGAAAATTTTATGTATAAATAAGAGAGCATATATTTTGTATACGCAAAAATGTGTGTACGCAATCCTGTATTACTCATACATATGCAATCTTTAACTTAAATGTTTTCTTATAATTAGCAATAATTGAATTTGAAGGGCTAAATGAAAGCTGGCAAGAATTTCTAAACCACTAAAAATTGAAATTTATATAAAGAAGTAAGAAAAAGACCTGAATTGTGTACAAAAGACAAAAATGTGTACAACCTCAATAGACCACTATAATATATATGGAGAATTTACACATGAAATATGCAATATTTTGATGTGTAAATAACGGGATATTTAAAAATATTTGGTAAAGTGCAACCATATTTGAATTTAACAAAAAAATCTTAAATATTTCCATGTAATGAATAAAATTTATAATTGCATACTTTTAGAAGATCTTACACAGTCTAATATGAATATAGCATAAAAAAAAGTTTTTTTTTCTGTTTAAATGTTTAAATGATTTTTTAAACAGTTCGAACATAGATTTACTGTAGCTAAAGATTGTTTATTATGTTCAGTTGATGGTACATTAGTTCAGAAAACTGTTATTTCCCAATATAAGTATTAGCTTTTTTACAAGCCAATTATTTGTGCAGGCCAATAAACTTATGTACTGATATGACGTATAATCGTAATTTGTCATAAACCTCAATTTGATTACCTATTTTGTGATTTGTGAGTTTTTGAAAACTTATTTTAAAATATTAAAACATCTGCATATAACACTATACAATGTACTTAAACTGCAGTCGTAGCAGGGTCTGCATTCTGAATATTTAAAGAAAATAGAGAAAAACTATATCTCTAGACGAGTTCAGTTATATTAAATAATAATTTAAGACTAAAAGCCGATTTATAGAACTAAAATCTACCTTGCAGCGCATTTTACTCAAAACAGGAATTTTGGAAATTGCTCTAGTATACAGATGGCAGTTGACAATATCTTAGTGTGCGTCTAATATTTCTTAGAAAGTAATTAATCTTTCAAGTATTTAATTATGTTAAGAGTAGAAAAATTCAAAAATTTTCCAAAAATTCATTTACAGTTGAAATGATTAAATGTGTCCGAATATGAAAATACCCAGAAGCGCTACCAAAAACTCAACTCCTTCTAAATTTAAAATTTAGAATCATTGAATCACAAAAAAAATTCTTTCTTTTCTTCTATCTAAAATTTTATAATTCTTTTGTTAAAAGTTATTCAACCAAAGATGTTCTCAAGCAATACAAAAAAATTACTCTATTCTTTTTTGCTTCTGTTATTCTTACGAAAAAGAAAAAAACCTCAGAATTTCGACATCAGCTGGACAAAAATGTAGCAAAAAGGGGTCTATAAATTTTACTTAAGTCAGCACATTCAGCACACATTTAAAATTAATTTTTGTTTCCATTTCATCTAACACAATGAATCCTTCCAATGCGCATACAGAATAAAGTTTTATCGGTTTTTTTTTAATTTTATATCCTTTCAAGTATATTTTACAAATACTCTTGAAAGAATTCCTTAATTTTTGATGATTCTTCCATATTATATTTTATCATTTTAACAAGGTCAAATGTTACGATTTCTTGTTCACAAATCTAAAAAAAAAACTCTTCTTATTTCGTTTTAGATCTATTTTTCTGGTGTTACGAGTGCAACATCTGCTTTAATTTGTGCCGCAGTAACTGTCACCACAAAAGTTTTACATATGAGCAGATTACAAGATTTGAATTTGAATTGTGAATATAAAATAACAACAAGAATTTGTACATGTTATTCAGATTTCGAAGATGGACCAGATGAAGGTAAATTTAAATTATTTTTTTATTAGTAGAAGTAAAAAAATGTTTAGTTTTTAAAGTAAAAAAATTAAATTATTGGAATTAAAAAGAAACAAAATTGGGTGAAACTAAAGGTTTTTAATGTAGAACTTTTTCCTTCAAAAAATGAAAATAGCGCTTTTAAAACCAATCTTGCTACGTACTCCATTACGAAAATTACTTTCACTCATATAAAAATTGCATACCTTTAGATGAGAATTGTATCAATTCTTTAAAATAAAATGAAAAAAAATTGAAGCTGTTAGTTGCGTGAGTTTAAAAAGTAATTACATTTTTTAATGGCAATAACTACTGATAGCATCCTGTATTTATAAAAATTTGAAAAAACTTCTAGCTCCGAAAATATAAAGTGGAAAAAATTCAAATTTTAGAAATTTGAGAATATAAAGTGCAAAATTGGAGTGGACATAGAAAGAATTTTTTTTCTAAGGAAAAGAACTATTTATTTACTAATGAGTACTTACAGTCACTACTTTTCTGCGTTCGCATAATTGCGTACACATAAAAAATGTTTGTGGTTTTGCACAATTATTACTTAAAAAATGGCATTTTTAAAACTTTGATCGCAGAAGAAAAATTCTATCTCCCACACTCTAAAATAATAACCATAATTTTAACCACAGATAAGTAAAAATTTTCTCTATGGGAGTTGGAAAAGTGCAAAAAATTAAACAAAAAAGATTAGCCTTATAAGTTAGTTTTCAATCAATGGTTTGTGTGGGGGAATTTTTTTTCTTTCTTAGAAAATAAGAAAAAATATTTATGAATGGTTTCGAACAAATATGTACTAGCAATTGAATAGTGCGAACAAGTTCAGAAATGTGTTACTACTCTCAACGCTCATTATTTAAATCAGTAGTGAAAGAAACCATGATTATGTGTTTTTGTGTTTTGACCTTTGGAATTTCTCTTAAAACTGAAAATCTACGTAATTTTCTGCCTTTTAAATTAATTTCTTTTTAAAATTTTTTTATTATTACAGCAAGAAAACTTTTATTTAATGCTGCCACAGATTGTCGTGTGGCGCAAGGTGATCTCTATTCATGTTTACAAGCAATATTTGGCCTATCTATTGCAGGAGTTTTAGTTGCTGTTTTTAGTTGTATGCTCTCATATTTACTGTACAGGTAAGCTAATGTATAGTTTAATCTAACTTATAGTTTTTCGAAAATATAGAATAAATATTTCCTAAACTAACCTCGTAGAAATTTTAATGCTCATATAAAGAACTGCTCAGACTAGTTTGCATATTTTTCGCAATACTTTTTGGAATTGTGATAAAAAATTAAATTGTTTATCAAATACAAGTTTGTTTAGTGTGTTTGGTTTATGGTAGATGTAAAACGGATTTCCTCAAAAATTAGTTTTCTTTAAATTGTTGAATTACCTTAAAAGCATTTAGCTCCAATTACTGTGTAGACTCATTTACAAAATGCAACAAATTAATAACACTTTATCACTGCAATACTCAGGATTGCGTATAATGAGGAAAAATTCGCAAAATTTTCAGGATTTAAATAAATTTTTTCCTAAACGTTTCTAGTTATATAACCTTTGTATATTATTTTGCTTGATCTTAATTACGTAATAAACATTTTCAAGCTATGAATGTGATTATATTTTTTCAACATATTAACAGATATAAATTTGCAACAATGTATTTTTTTTATAAAACCCTTGCATGTTTACTGTTATTTTATAACATAATTTTTATTCAGAAATGTACTAATGGCTTTTTTTGTGTGTATTTCTTCTCTTTTTCATCTTGTTTAATGCATTCAGTCACGAACGCAAGAAAATGTATTGGGAACAATTGGATATGCGATGTCGTTTATTGCATGCAAGTCATTTTACTGGTGGTATTGGTCAACCACCATTACCATTGCCAGCATCTATAATTACAAATGATTCGCATGGGAATACAACACCTTGCATTGGATGCTGTGAACAATGTCACGCAACAACACAACAAGCTGCAAATTCTAATAGCATTTCTGGTTATCCTTATGCTCCTTTAGAATTTCCATGGAATGATTATACAAATTGTGCTAGCAGTAAATTTTTGACAATCGCTGGAAATAATAATCTTCATAATCATAATTTTCATAATCATCATCATCATCATAATCATCATAATTTTCATCATCATTTTGGAAATTTTTTTAATTCAAATTTTTGTACACCAAATCAAATAATGACAACGGCCAGATTGAATGAAACAATCGAAAATAATTCTGAAAATGTAATAACAACAGAAACATCTGCTATATCTTCTTTATGTTCTAACAATATTAATAATAATAATAATAATATAATTAATAATACGATAACAGGATCTGATGAATGTGGAACTAATAATAATAACAATAATATTAGCAATAACAGGAATAGTGATTGTAATATAGTCGCAAATTTATCAACAACAGAACAGTCATCATCTATATCAAATGGTATTATTAATGATAATAATCATAATAATGGCAGTAGAGGATGGAGATGGCCAAGAATGCCATGGCAAAGAAATTTTGATTTTAATTTATTTCAACAAGCACTTCTATCTCGACCAGGAAGCTTTAATCCAGGATTAGATTTTAATAATTGGCCAGGATTTTTACATAACTCAAATCCAACATCAACTATACAATATCCATCAACAAATTATATTAATGGTTATCCAATAGGTATATGGGGACCACCACCACCACCATATAGTGATCCAAATAGTCCGAATTGGAGAATTGGTAACAGTTGCAATAATGAAACAAATGATGATAGTAATGATAATCAATGTAATGACACAAATACTTTAAGAACAAATTCTGATAATGGTAATTTATATTCTAGTCAATTGAATTATATTGACTTACGACCACCGGAATATAGTGCTGAACCATTATCAATAGTATCACCATCGACGAATTATAGTGAGAGCAATAGTAATTGTAATAACGAAATAGAAAGTGAAATATCACAAGGTACAAAATAATATTTTGTATCTTCACAATTTTAGTTATATTTTCAAATTTGTATATGTGTAATAATATAAACCTTTAAAATACATACACATATAAATGTATAAAGTTAAGAAATAAAAAAAAAAGAAAAATCATATTTTATAGAAGAGGATTAAGTATTTATTATTTGAAAAAAAAAAAAATAATAATAATAAAAAAAAAATCAGAATTGTGATCTTAGGTTATAGATGACTAATTTAAGAATACCAGGTAGTGGAAAATATCATTTCCAGGTGGTTTAAAATATTCTTTTAATTTTTTTTTTTTGGGTCTTCTTGTTTCTTATATTTTGTACATTATCGATAATACAAATATGAAAAGTCGGTGCACATATTATCATTCTATAGAATAGAGATACAAGTTAATCATTTCTATATAATTGTATATCTTTCTGTAAGTATGTGAGATGCAAAGTATACGGAAGGAATACTTTCAACTTTTCACGATGCGTGAGTCATTAAGAAATTAGCATAATGGCCTTGTAAAAATTATAAACACTTATTCAGAATTCCATATTATTTTCCTGTTCGGTTGTTACCGAAACATTCATTTCAAGACGGAATTGGCTTAATCATTAATATAACGTTTTCCCAATACAAACATTTATTCTGCTTATGCAACACACCTCAAAATTTTTAATCTCAACAATAATCATGTATGGTACCTCAGGTTCTAAACTGGATAATTTTTAAATCTTATACTTGAGAGAATAACTTATTCTACTACCTTAGAACAGAGAAAGTTAGTTCTGGAATCGTAATAAGAATCATCCAAAATTGGAGTACTTGAAGTACCTCTACAATAATATCAACTTAGCACAAAATAAGATTGACCTGTGAATAATGGGATTTGTCCGTGAATAATGCTTAAAGATATAGTTCCAGACCATTTTTTTATTTTGCGAATAATAAAATGAATAAAAATTGCTTTATTTTGGAATAGTTAACAACTTTTAATCATTTTAACTTTTGGGCGGGCAACTCATATTTTGTATATCAGGTGTACATTTTATATCTTGTATAAATGTCTTATAGACCTAATAGGTAAAGAAATGTAAGACTTGAACTGAACATTTCAAATATAAATATGAAAATTAGATAAACATTGTAAAAATAAAAAAAATAAAAAAATCAGAAAAAAATTGTATAAACAAAGAAATGCAAAAATAATAAAAAGTTATAAAAAAAAATAAAAGTAAATGTAATGTGAAACCCGAAAATTTTAATTTTTATAAAAAAGAAAAATGAAAATTCTTAGATTATTTAAGTAAATATGTATAAAGTATATATATAAATTCATAAGTATATATATATAATTATAGAGGGGAACAAAAGATTGATGGGGTTATCTCTGTACACGTTTAGGAGTCTATAAAATTAATTCAAAATCAATTTAGTTGTGTAAGATCCTAGGAAATAAAGTATTTTTACTTGAAAAAATAAAAAGTTTTCAGCTTGTTTTATTTTAAAAGGCACATTTTGAAAGACGATTTCGAACCCAAACCTAACAAATTTAATTGTTGAAAGTGTAGAATCAGAAATTATATTTTAAGTTCACATTGGATTCTGATTGAAAGCTAACAAATTCGTTGACAAGACGTTAGCTGTGAAAAATCAATGCAATAATTATGTATTTAGGGTTAGTAAGAAGCCATTTTGGGTTCGTATGCCACTGAAATTCATTTCTCTTTTGAGCTTATTATTACAATCATTAAGTTGATTACATAATTAAGAAGTAATAAAGTTGAGTCAAACCAATGGTTTGTATTGTAGCACTTTTCCCTTCAAGAAGTGAAAATTCTGCTTTTAAATACAGTCTATGTATAGCTATCACACTATTAAAATTATTTTCATTCATATACAGAACTATTTCTAGGATTGCATATATTTAGGATGACGCATATATGCAGTCTTTGAAATAAAGCAAAAATTAATATAAAAAGGGGTTAACATAATGCTCGATTTTAAGGGTTAGTTGTGTGAGTTAAGAAAAATAGTTATATTTTTTAATTTCATGGAATTTACCGTTAGCTTTTTGCGTTTATAAAAATTTGGAAAAGCTTGCGGTTTCGGAAATATAAGGTGTCAAAAATTCAAATTTTACGAATTTCAAGAGGTGATAACTTGAGAGGGGGTGGAGATGGAAAAAAATTTTCTTCTAACAAAATAAACTATTTATTAATATCTAAAAGATCCTAAAATTTCAAGCTTCTACAGTCTGGGGTCTAGAAGAAAAACGACATCAAAAATTTGGAAAAAAAGGACTTTAAATAACGGTAAATTTTAACGGCCATTTTGTTTTTCTTAAGTTGAGCTATAATATACCGCGCAAGGGGAAGCAAGCCACTGCCTTTCTGCGTTTGCAAAATTTCAAAAATGCTTATGGTTTCATTGCAACATATATTTAAAAAAGGCCATTTTTAGGGTTTTGGGGGGGTATAACTTCTAGAGGGGGGGAGATAGGTAAAAATTTTGTTCTACAGAAATAAGTTTCTAGTGAAGATCTATGTACGTATTAAATTTCAGCTTTCTATCTTCAAAGGTGTAGAAGTTTTGTAAACAGACACACGGACGGACGGACGGACGGACGGACGGACAGAGTGAAACTAATAAGCACTTTTTTCAAAAAATTTTTTGGAAAAGTGCTAAAAACTAATAAATATGTTGATAAAACGCGAATGCAAGGTTTCAAGGGAAAAATGTAATTGAAGTTGACCTATAATGTAAATGAAAAGCAGACAAAAATATAGGAGCACATCATTCGATCTTTTAATTTATAATAAAAGTTAGTGAATACCAAATAATTGAGCAAACTTTAAGAGAGAAAAATTACGGCCGTTTTGCATGGTGCAGTTATCACATAAAATTTTTTTAATCCCAATTTAATTGAAGCAATTTTCGAATAACTTATTTTTCAAAAATTAAGTTACTCTTACTGTGGAAATTATTACAGACTTTAAGCCCTTTATTATGACCGGCGAAGCGAATGAAATTTTTGACGGACATAAAGTTTTGGTATTACTAGTTATGAGAAGCGAATTCGCCTCAATTTTAGGCGAATGAGCTGTCAAATCTGTCGGATGAAAATTCTGTGAATGCTCGGTGAATGAAACCAAAAATCAAAATAATGTATGAGTGTTTTTTGTTATTGGATATTTTGGCATTTATGATGATATAATGGAAAAATCTAAACTATCTGTAAAGTAAGTTCATAAAATTTTACAAATTATTGTAAAAAATATTATAGCTATAAAAATTTAAATTTCCTAAAATCTGGGTTGTTTAAACATATTTACGTACCGAGTACTGAATGATTGTTTGAAGATATTCCTCCTTCATAAGAAACTAAGTATGCTAGTTGTAATTACAATATTCACTTATACTAATTATTGAAAACGGCAACGTGGGGAACGTCATAGATAATGTCAATGTAAGTTGAAACAGCGTGCGCCTGGAAAACGGGAAGTCACTGATTGAGGTCCATTTGGAAACTTGGAGGCAGAAATTTTAAAATAGCTGATTCGCGTAATGAATTAAATATTAGAAATTTTTCAAAAGAAATCATTACAAAATTTATAACCCTAGAATTTTCAGTATCAACTCCTCATATCCAAATATTTATTTTTTATATTTTTTACATTATCAAAATAAAATATGAATTTTATTGTAGAGAATGTCCGGTTGATACTATTATTACTTATCGTAGGAAACTTTGTGTCAAAAATTATTACGCGAAAAATATTTTTCTTGGAATTGTTTTGACTTCTTTGAATGATTTGTAAACAACTTTTGAAAGTGTTTAGTTTCGGAAGGGGAAAAAGTTTCAATAAAAAGAAAAAGTTACTTGAAAAATATTTTGCAATCACATTTCTCATCTTCATACTTCTTTTCACCTATACAATGTTTTAATAGGTTTAGAAGTTATTTAGGAAATTGAATCTATATAAAGTTTAGGAAACTTTATAATTTTTTTTTCGTTTTTCTGGAATTTTGGTATATTGAATAACAATAGAAATTTTCAAAATCTCTTTCACTTATTTTCAAAAAGTTTTTAAATGTTTTCAACAATTTCTTTTGTGGACCAAAAAAAAAAAAACAGCTCCAACTTTTAATAAACATGTTTTTTTGAAATTCAAGTTAATTTTATTTGTGAACACAATTGCAGTTATAGCTGAATCCTTAAACTTCAAGAGGAATTTGAAATTTAATACTTTGCTTTTGAAGTTTCCTTTTATTTTTCCACGTATATGAGAGATCATAAGACATTATACAATATTATAGGTTGATTCAATTTACTAAGAAATATAATTTTTTATAATTCTTGTGGAAAAGTTTCACATTATCAATTAATGTTCTGGAATCTTATAAATTTCTTTAAGTTATTACTTTTTGAAACAAAGAATTAACATTCAGTTGAAGTCCTTTCTTACAACTAGAAGGTGTGTTTCACATTATAGGTATGGCAGACCGAAATAATATTCGAAATTACCTTATTCTCTATATTTAATAATTGTTTCTTTGCGAATAATTTCAATATTCTCGAGAAAAAACAAACATTCGCGGTTTGGAAAGTTATTCAGGGGAACAAGAATAATGAAAGAGCTAAAAATAAGCTTGTAATTAAAATTTAAAGTGAAATGGCAGTCAAGTCATTGCAATTTTTATTGGGTATTATACAGAACTATTGGGCCTTCCTTATTAAGTTATAGTTTAAAATGTAAGTAAAATTTATATAATATAAAGCTTAAATTTGAAACGTAGCATTTTTATGTTCTGGGAAGAAATTGGTAGGTTTTTTTTTAATTAAAAGAAAAATTGTTTGCGAGGAAAGAAGCAATAAATTTAAAATATCGTTATAAATTTAGCACGTAACCGACTGCAATGTATTATCTAGATTAGTAAAAGTATTCCAGAAGATTGTGAAAATGCGTTTTAAACACTTCTTTACAATTTTAAGGACACTAATAAGCTTTTAGTTAACATACCCAGAAAAATGTAAATTTGGCTCTTAGTAGAGTCTCATTTTGTACCCACCGAATTATACGAAAAGTTCGTTACACGTTAGTAACTTCTGGTAATAACCAGAACTCAAATATCAAATTTCAAGAATTTCCATCTATTGTAGATATGATAACAAATGTAAAATCGGCTCCTAGATCAGTTTCCAAGCCGTAACCTTTTCAAAAAATTAATTATACAGATTAATTGTTTTATTAGCACCTCGAATTTAAATATTAAATTTCTATGAAATCGGTTGATCATTTTTCATTATATACGCGAAAGTGTATATTTTTGTATAGTAAAGTTCCGCAGGAAATTCTATATGCAAAATTTGAAAAAAATTGAAAAAGGAATATTTAACATTCATGAAGTTAATCAGTTACAAGTAAAGGATACATTTTTTCTACCTTTTCAACTCCAATTTAAATTCAAGCACTTTAATTTTTTTTATAAAAACTCTTGAGTATTGTTTTCTAGTAATTGTACTACGAAAAAAAAATAATTTGCCGATTTTAGTGACAATTTTTTCTAATCTCTTTATCCTAAAATAATATCAACCACCGAAAGTCAAATATCCCCATTTCTGTCAATGTAAGCCAAAAACTAGTTGATCGTAACAGAAATCATTCTATCGAATGCGACTCATAAACGATTTTAACATTGTTAACTCGTGCCTTTGTCTTGCAACATGATTCAGTTGTAGATATGCCACACATTTATAAATTCCACTATCTCCTTCAACCATATTACGGCTATACTAAATTTTTTTTTGTCTGTAAACTTCAACCTTGAAAATTTAAGTGATTCCCCAAAATATTGAAATAAATTTGCATAAAAGTAGTTTGAAAAAAAAAAATTGTCACTTTAATTGATGGTCATACGTATCAAATGATAAATTATAAAAATTTAAGCACACACGTACTCACACAATACAAAACAGAAAAAAAAATTAAAATTCAAAAAACGTGAAACTCAATTTGAATCTTTTTTTATTTCCTTATTTTTAGAAAAAATTAAAAAAAAAAAATTTTTAATCATTACTGTTACGTACCAGTCAAGATTTTCGGGGTAATATTTTTAAAATTGAGTAACTCGAGAAATAAAATGTCCTGTACGTTTTTGTTTTATTTTTTTTTCTTTTCTTTCCCAAAATACCGAAATAATGAAAGTAAAAAGGCAAAAATAATTTATTCTACTCATATGTGAGCTTTCACAAATAAGATATATGAGATTATAGAACGCAGTACCTACAATAGAGCGCTAGCTATTCAACTTTTAAATACTTATATGTAGTCAAATATTTTACAAGTAAAGGAACGAACAATACCTCTGGCGTTAAACAGCTTATCATAGAGAAAAGATTTCTGTGTTTTTTTCGCTCTCTCCATTACGAATAACGTTTAAAGAATTTCTTGTGTCATTTTTTTCTTGTTTTCAGGACGTTTTG